GTGCAGCTGGTGAGGTCATCTAGGGCCTGCAGGTTCCCTCAGGACGCCGACGGCAGCGTCCTTCAGTTTGCTCTTGGATATGGCAGAGGGACCTGCTGTAGTCGTTGCGTAGGGTGGGCAGCTTAAGGGACTGGGAAGGGAGCACAGTGTGAGAGATGGGGCTGGGTGTGTGTGTGGGGATTCAGGCTACCTATGTGTTTCGGGGAGCTAGAAGGGTTAGGGGTAATGGAGGGATGTTCAGGACAGCCCTGAAAGAGCCCCAGAGGCCGGTCTGTGCTGGAGGGGGTTTACTTGAGAGCTTAGGGTTAAAGGTCCCTTCCAACCCAACCAATTCTATGTGCTGATGAAGCTCAGCAATTAACAGGCAGATTGGCAGCAGTGAGACAGGTGCGTGTGCCAGCAGGTGCCTGGTGGGTCGTGGGCTCATCTCATGTGGCCCATAGGAGCACGTGGGAGGGTGGCAGCAGGGGACCTGCTGTGTGACATACTCTGTAGGAGATGCTAGGCTCTGGAAGAGGAGAAATCACAGGTTAAAGAAGAAAGAGGCAGTAATCTAATACAGGAGGCAGCATCCTTATTCCCAGGAAGAAAAGATTCTCTCTTTTCCTAGGAGCATCACTAGTACGTGCTGGGAGGAGGAGTCCCCAAACAGGCAAGCAGGCATAGTGGCTAGGGATGTTGAATGGGGAGCTGTAAATCAGCAAGCTGCTAATTAAGACTACAGAAAGCTAGTGAGTTACTAAAGATCTGTATTACTCTTTTCAGAGCTCTAGGCTGTTAACAAGCTCCCTGGGACGTGTTCCGAGCACGTGGCTCTCAGGGGACATCGCTTGAGAGTGCTTTATTTTGGGCATGTTCTCGGAGGTGAAGTTCCCTGTGCCCTGGGGCCATGTGGCAGCCAAGGCCTGGGGACCCCCAGAGGGACACCCCGTGCTGTGCTTGCATGGCTGGCTCGACAATGCCAACACCTTTGACAGGCTTATTCCACTGCTCCCCAGAGGTGGGTCTGGCTCCCTGGCATGGTTCTTATTGTGCGGCGAGGCTGTGTGTCTGACGCTCTCTGCTTTTCAGATTGCCGGTATGTGGCGATGGATTTTTCTGGCCATGGCTTGTCATCTCACCGGCCTGCAGGCTCCCCTTACCATTTCCTAGATTATGTGAGCGATGTCCGCCGCGTGGCAGCAGGTGAGTAGCTGAAAGGGCCCTTGAGGAGATGACTGTGCAGGGGGTACTGTACTACTGTACCACTCCTACTCTTTAGAACAAGTCAGCAGCATCAACTGCTGGAAGGGAGCACCCTGTGTTTCTCTCAAGGCTAACCTTAGCTGGTGCTTTGTTAAACCGACTCCTCCTCTGTGGGTTTTTGATTTGTTTGCTTTTTACTGAAACAGTAAACCCTGGGAAGGAAATGTTTCTGTGCTGAAAAGCAGTGGTAGTGGCTGAGTGGTGAATGCAACTAAGTAGTTCCCCCAGACTGACATTTTCTAAGCAGGCAGCAACCTCCAACCAGAGTTAGATGTTAACTGGAGAGTCTTCTGGTTCTCCCCATTCACAGGTTGGTGCTTGCTTTAGGGCCATGCAAAGAAATCTGAAAACCAAGGTGTGTTGGGCTCTAGTAATGCCTGGTCTGACTACATATTTGTGTGCTGATTGTGAGGAAGCCTGTGGGAGCTCTTCAGCGTTTCAGAATGTAAAACATACCTTTCAGTGTGATATGTTTCAGATGGCAGCACTGATGAAGCAATATTTTCCTATAAGTCTCTCAGAGCTCCCTAAAGATGAACTGAAAAGCTGAAACACTGATGTGCTTCTTGGTGCAAAAAGCTTTCACTTGGGATAATGATATGTTCCCCAGGGCAGCAGAGCTGGCCGTGTCCTTGCAGCTCGTGCTGCATGCCTTGTAGGAGGGTGCTCTGTCAAGGCTTCCCCGTTTCAGTGGATGCTGCACAATGAGGCTCCTTTGTTAGTTGCCAGTCTCATGTCTGGCAGTAAATGGGAATTTGCTGTAGCTTGTTTGCAGTGCAGAGTGTACTTGAGAGCTGTGTGAGATAACTACCATAGAAATGAGGTGGTGGATGTCCTTTTTCTTTAAGACGGGCCTACTTAGCCACCTCATTTCTGGATTAGGAAACAAATTAAGCATTGCAGAAGCCCTCTTGGGAGAAGGGGCCTGTCTTAGTGGGGAAGCAGCAAGATGCCGCAGCTCTGGTTTCTAATGCATCACTGTCTGTTTTTGTCTGTTGCCACTTAGCATTGCGGTGGAGACGGTTCACCCTGATGGGTCACAGTATGGGTAAGTGGCTCTTTTCCTTGTAAGCTGTGAGATTCACGGAAATATGAGTAGATAATTAATTTACAAAGCATGCTGCTAGAAGCTGGGTTGGAATATTTATTATACTGTGTCAAGTACTAAGTTCTTGCTTGAGTGATTCAAAAATCTACATCCTTGCTTAAAATGCTTCTGTTTTCACAACACTGTAGTACAGACGGCACAGACTGTCCCTGTGGGCATTTCCTGAGCCCCCAGGAGGGAACCGTGATGAACAAAGAGCGATGGTCTAAGGCAGGAATATTCACAGCAGGCCTTCCTGCTCTCCCCAGGCTTTATGGCCTTGCCTTTCTTGCCCAGGGCTTCTCTGGCCACAGCTCACAGTACCTGCACACTGTATTTTTTTAACTGATAACTCTTCCTTTGTCTTTGCTGCCTGAGGGGGAGATGGGGCAGGACACAGAGTCCAGCTTACCAGTCCTGTTCTCTGCTTGCATCCTCTCTGCTAAGAGAGCTTTACTGTGTAGCTTGGGCGTTGTCTCTTGGTACAAACATCAGTTGTGCTTCTAAGACAGCTCCTGCTTTGGGGAACAGGTGCTCCTGTTACCAAGGGGTGGCCTGTGCATAACTGAGCACCCTCCTTTCCTTTACAGGTGGGTCTGTGGCAGGAATGGTGAGTAAAGCATACTTTATTCATGGGGTTTGTGACTTTTGCAGCTGGAACAACAAATGGGAGAGGAATGAAGAGACAGATTATGTGGTCTTGGATTCTGGGGAAGGAGAGGCCCTTTTCTAACCCCCTCTCCAGTACAGCAGGATGTAAAACAGCACTCAGTGTGCAGCTTTTCTCTTTGGTTCATAATGTTTCATCTTTCTTCAGTTTGCTTTCATTTATCCTGAGATGGTGGACAAGCTGATCTTGCTGGAAAATCTTGGCTTTCTACTAGCTCCAGAGGTTAGACTTCATGTGTCCTTCCCCTCTCTTTTTTAAAATAAAAAGAAATGTTTTTGTCTTCCCCTCATTTGTTCAAAGAAAACACTGATGTGCCCAGATCCTGGCAGGTCACACAATTCTCAAAATTTTTTGGCAAGCATAGATGTGCTCCTTGTTGCATGAAGTGAGACCCTGCTTAGCGTGGCCCTTGGGGAGCATCCTGCCATCCTGTAGCACTGAAATTCACTTGTCTATGCCATGTCTATGTGCAAAAGGAACTGGAACCTCTGTCCAAGCAGCTAACTGCCTGCCAAGGCTGTTTTCTTGCCAACAGCTTGTTGGTGACCCGAGTGCAAGGCTGGCAGATTTTTTCTGCCTCCTGGCAGGACGTAAAGCTACATTCCCAGACTGCCATTATCACTACCAGGTGCTGGGGAGTTTGGTAGACAGAAATGGGATGGAAGCTCATGGTTAGAGAGGCAAAAGATCCCAGATTTACCTTGTTGTTTTAGAGGGTTGTCTTCAATTCAAAAGTGAAGTGGGAGGAGGTAAAAGAGATTACAAGAATGAAAAATTAATAACTTCTATACAACAGTGCTTAGTTTTCTGCTCTTATCTTGCCTCTTACGTATTGCTGTTCTCTTTCCTCAAGAAGTGCGCGTTTTTAACATGTCCTTAACTGGTACTAGCTCTGAGAAATGCTGATGGGTAAAATACCCTCTTCTACCCTCTGATAAGGCATAAAGTGACTCAAAAGGGAGGTTATTCCTGTTCTGTACATCTGTTTGTTTTAGGACACTGAGGCATGGCTGAAATCGAAGCGTCTGGCTATCGATAGATTACTGAGTCTAGAAGCAAAGCAGCAAGCTCCCAAAGCACGTAGCCCCGAAGCAGCATTGCAGAGGTGGGTTCCCACCTGTCTCTTCATTTGCTGTGTGTCCTCACCTTGGGCAGTTGTGGCTGCATGAACCATAACGGGAAACTGTCACGGTTCTGCCCATTCAAGTTCTCTTCTGGTATCTCAGCAAGACTTTTTGCTTCTGCAGTCAGCTTCCTGCTCTTCTCTGAAGCAGCCTGAGAGCTTGCTGTCACCTTGTCATGCCATTTTCGCTTCGCTTACTCCTTTTTTCAGCAGCACAATGTCTCTGCCATGTCTCCTCCAGGCTCTTAGAAGCAAACAGACATCTGACAGCAGAGGGTGGGGCAATCCTGCTGCAGCGAGGAGCAACTGAGACACCCACTGGTAAGGGGCTGCTTGGAGACACGGCTCATCTCAGGGCTGGCCCAACACCAGTGTTGGTGTGGGAAGGGAGTAGCGCCAACAGCTATTGTCTTCCACAGGGCCCAGGGTGCCCAAGCTATGAGTTTACATAGCCTGAATGGGATCAATTAAATCTGGAGGCAAAGCTCTCATTTCCCAGCAACTGACATTGGAGCTTGAGTGCTAGAATGGGTAAAGGAGGAAAAAAAATAATAAAAAATGAGATATTTGAGTTAATCCTACTCCTCTTACCTCGAAAAGTCTTGGGCAAACTCCAGAGGCAAGGGGCAGAGCAACTCCTGTTTCTTTGAGACATGAAAACCTTCTCTTGTTTTCATTGCAGGACTGGTGTATAACAGAGACATGAGAGTCCGTACGGTGAGCATTGCTGTTCTGACTTGCCCCCTGCTGCTTCTGAGCCCTGAGCTTACAGAAAACAGAGGTAGTGGAGGCCCACTTACTGAGCCCAGGCTCTGCCTCCACCCAACCGTTTACTTGCTGCTTTCCTAATTCCCACACCTCTTTTAAATGCTGCTTTTAAAAGAGCCTGCATTTGATCATTAACTGACTCAGCTTAGAGTCACTGGAAAATGTTACTGAATTTTTTAGCAGTTCCTGAGCCCCAGGGCCTCCTGGCCACATTTTCCTGCTGTTGTAACTCTTAAGGCAGCAGACGGATGGATGTTTTAGGTCAGCTTCTTTGTCAGGTCACCCTTACAGGAAAGGGGGAGGGAGTGGAACAAAGTCTGATATGTTGATAGCATTGTGCCACTATTGTGTAAGAAGGGCCTCCTCTACCTGTGTTACTGCCAGGCTATGAAAACCAGAGTATTGTATTATCTCCTTTTTACTAAAAGGACTTTTTAAAGCTTTTTCTCTGCTGTGAGATCATTCCCATATGTGCTGCAACCCAGCAGGCAGTGCTGTTGGCAGCCCTGAAACACATCTGGATAGAAGGAGCAGTTGCAGAGCCAGGCGCTCTTGTGTGCAGCCTGGCAGCCTGTCCTGTCTCAGCACAGCGGCTGTGGGGCCTCAGCCTCTCCTGCACAGGGCTTGGGGACACCCTCTATCCTCAGCTGCTGTCCCTGACTTTTGTTGCTCTCCCTGTTTTTGCACCTGCAGCAGAATCGAGAGTACCTCACTGTGGAACAGTGTGTGAAGCTCCTGCAGAAGATCAAGGACCGCGTTCTCATCATACTGTGAGTGAGGCACGAGCAAAACCAGCCTTCACTGCCATCCTGTGTGAAGGGGTGATGGCTAGAAGGGCTCCTCCCCATCTGTTTACCCTTGTGCAAAGGGAACATCCTGGCAGACATGTGAGCCTTTCCATCATCATTCCTGCATATTTCCCTTGTGATCTGACTCTCTTCCTTCAGTGGCAGCAACCCATCTGCCCTCTACTCCTCTTGCTGTACAAACAGTAAAGCCACTGCAGTATTCACCTGTTCCAGATGGTTCTGGAGCCAGACGCAACCCCAGGGCAGGGAGGAGATGCTGGGAAAGCAACCAATGTCTTATCTGGAGCCCCACAAGTCACCTATCTGGTCTGGGTGCTGTTTGTCCTTCTGCTTTTTTTGCTGTCTCCTTAGAGGGCAAGGTGTGCAAGGTTCTTGTGATGTTGGCCCATACTGTCCAGGGGAAATAAGGAGGTGCTGGGAGCTGAGAAACAAGATTCAGTTTTGGCTTCTCTAGGCTGTTCAGATCATGAGAGCATTGTTCTTTGTGTTTAAGAATTTTCCTATTTGACCAGAGCAGAAAAATGCAACATCATGGTGAGGACAGGTTCTCTAGGCCATACAGAACACATCCCCTCAAGCCTCAGACATCCCTTCATCTAGTTACCTGCAGCACAATCTTAATTGTACAGGGAGTCTAACACTGGCTTCTTTACGGGAACTGTCCTGGTGCCTCCTGCTCCAACTAGGGCAGGAAACGCAATTAAAGTGTTCAAGTAGCAGTGCAGAGAAATGGACAGAGATGCAGAAGCTGACTGGAAGGAATAAAGCCAAGAGCAGAAGATAGGGTAGGGGCAGGGAATTATATACTGAGACAAGTTAAGGAGCCAATTCTGGGGGGATAATATTTAACCTGTCTCCCTGTGATACTACTAGGCAGTACTCCAAGTATTAAACAGATAGCTTGATAGATAATAGCTGCTTAGCCAAGCTGTGCCTTGTTCCTCTGACTACCATGCTGCTTACAGGCAGCCTGCAGAGCAGATGGGTCTGCCATCCTAGTCTGTCCTGGGGACACTGCTTCTGCCCAGGAGACAGCCACAAAGACAGAGGCACACCGTGTGTTTTACTGAGCCTTGCTCTTTCTTTTCAGAGCACAAGATGGACTCTTGGTACCACACAAGCTAGAGAGCAGAAATCAGTTTGTGAAATCCTTACGGGAGGCGTTTGAGCATACCCTCAAAGAGGTGAGAGTGATCTCTGTCTTTGTATCTCCATCCACTTCACTAGGCACCAACCTGAAAGCAGCTAGGAAATAACTTACCTTAGAGGCATCCACAGCAGGGGATTTGTCCTAAACAGCCCAGTCCTCACACGAGGGGACGGAAGGCCAGCTTTGCCCTTACTTCCAAAATCCTAGTCAGTACTGCCTTCCAGATACAGCTCTTCCCAGTTCCTCCCACCCTGCCTCCCTGTTGGACTGTCATCTTTATGTAATGGGGTTGTCAGGGGCTGGTGTATCTGCAGTTAACTATGGAAATGTAAAATCCAACCTTTCTTTGAGACACCATTTTTGCATTGTTTCCTCTGGCTTCCTTCCCAGTGGGTAACACACAGCAAGCACAGCTTGCCTGAAGGAAGACTTCAGGAATGCTTTCCTGCTTTATTTCTGCTTGTCTTCTCCCTCTAGGACGTCCAGCTAGTAGAGGTGCCTGGGAGTCATTTTGTGCACCTGAACGAACCTGAGGTGGTGTCTGGGATCATCAGCAACTTCCTGACAGCGCAGAACACCAGAGCCAGACTCTAAGCAGTCACTGCAACAGCAATCCAGGACAAGAAGTAGCTAAAAATCTGGCTCTGGAGGAATTGTCACCATTCCTACCTCACATCCAATGTCAGTTTCATGATACTTATTCCTAAGCTGAGTTCTCTGAAGCGGTGAATGGAGATCTGCAAAGTTAGACACACAGTGGCGTTCCCCTTTCTTCTTCCTAACTTCTGCATCCTAAAATGGAGCAGGAATACAGGCAGAGGTTCCTCAGGGAGCAGCAGCACCACTAGCTGTAGCAGTGCAAGAAATAGGTAGCTCATTCTTTCCTCCTCTCTCAGCACGAAGTGACAAGTCTCCTCCCAGGGCTAAGCCAGTTGAAAAAACAGGAAAGAGTTCTGCTTCTCTGCTTATTTCCATGATTGCCTGAGCTCAGACAGCCTCAACCTCTCTGTTCTACTATGAGGGCTGCTGCTTTTTTTAATAATCAGCTTAAATGAGAGCTCACCTGGGTACAGTAGGCCATTTCAATGAACTGCTGGGAAATGAGTCATTAATCCTCTAGCTGAAGCAGCTGGAAGAACTATTAGTAATGGAAAAGTTGGCAGAGGTGATTTCTGTCCTTCAAAATAAAGATTGATCTTCCACTGTTAACACTGTCGTCTTTGACTTTTCAGAAGAGTGAACCTTTCTTGCAGGATGCTCACCCAAGCAGATCAAGTGCCAATCTTATGAAGCAGTGATTTTTGCATGCATTCTGCTTTGGATATTTCATGTTAAGTATCCATCTGCCTCCTACTTAAATAGATGCAAAAAGCCATATGAAGGAAGCAGGCCTGGCAATCTTCTCATGCAATGGAAGCTGCACATACAGTGGATTTTCTACAGGATAGTGAATCTACTTTAGCTTAACTTTGTTGAATTTATCAGCATTTTCCTCATTATGCTCATGGTCACTCCCTTACCGAAGCTGCAGGCAGTAAAATAAATGTTGCATGCTAGGGGTGCCTCCTTTCACATCACAGCAGCTGTCACAGGCTGCTAGCATCAAATTGCAAGTTACATGAACAGCAGCAAAAGCACTGCCCAACAACTGGGTGTGCATGCTGCCATCCTTACCTGCCCTCCTGTGGGCTAGTAGCAGGTTTTGTGGAAACACCTTGAAGTCTGGTTTCTCTCTCCAAATCTAGGCTGTCCTCTCACCTTGTCTAGTGACAGTGCTGAATGGCAGTGGTTCCCACAGCTCAGGCTACACCTAGCTGCAGAAATTCAAATACAGCTGGAAGGGCATCTCAGCACCCGACTGAGATGGAGCTCCCTGGGAGGGAAGCACCAAGAGAAAAGGTAGGGCTCTGTACCAAACCACTGATCTCTCCCTGTGACAGCAGGTCTGGGAACTTTCCAGTTGTTTGTATCCAAGGCTTTCTCTCCCCTTCTTCATCGCCCACAGATAAACACCTAAAGGACCACTGGCACATAAGCCATGGCTTTTATCACCAACCTAGTCCAATACAGAAGACACAAGACTGTTCCCCACAACACAGCAATGGAGAAGGGGGCATTCCTGCCTTTGAGGAACAGCACCAGTTTATTTACAATTCTTCAGCCATTCCCTGCCCTTGCAGAGGCTGTGTTGGGGCAATACTGTCTCTTACTAAACTTCAGGAGGGCCTTGGCTCACTCAGAGATACAGGCTGTCAGAAGACACACCTCAGACCCCTTGGCCCATGCACCTACAGAAATGGTAGTAGATGATGTCAGTGCAGGCATGGCCAGGAGAGCAGGAAGATGCAGTGCAACTGAAGTCCACCCTCCCACATGAGATCCAATGGCAGTGCCTCAGTTCCTCAAAACCCTATGGCACATAAGGTCTGTAAGCATCTCTCCTGCCCTGTCCAGCACAGGCATCGAAAAAAACAATGCAGCTCAGTATGGCCTAAACTTGCGCTGGGCTCGCATCAGTGCAATTCTCTGCTTGTCCTCCTCAAATTTCTTCCTCAACTGGGCAATATCTGAAACACACAAAAAAAGAAAGATGACAGGTCACAGGGGAGCAGCAGACCTCCCTCTCCCTGTGGAGCTTCACTTCTGCACACTGGAAGATGTTCAGTTCAGACAGCTGCAAGCACACATTGCTCAGAACAGGTCCTTTTGCATCAGGGCTAAGTGCAGAGCTGAGGCTCCAGCTGCTTTGCAGTGCTGCAGCTCCCTCTTGGGGAAGGAACACGCTAGTTCTCCCTTCCAGTGGCTGCCTCTGTGCAGACTGACAAAAACAATTAGAAAGGTACCCTTTGCCCACTCTCCCAAAGAATATTCCCACAGCTTTTGCTAGGCCAGGTAATGGCAAGGGACCCCCAGGAACTTGCTAGACCGTTTGCCCAGACTCCCAGCCAGCTGTTCAACTGCAGCTGGATGTAGCTCCACTGAAAGAAAAAAAGATGTTCTTTGGGCTACAGTATGAGACAGAGAAAGGTAGAAGGCAATTCAGACACTCACGCTCTCTCTTGGTCTCACGATGCTGCCAGGCATAGAAGTTAAGCAGCTCTTTGCGTGCCTTTTTCCGCTTCTCCCTCTCCAGCACTCGGAGGTTGGCAGCCTCTGTCCGGGGCAGGCCAGGCTTGCGGCCCTTCCGTGTTACCTTCACCCAGCCCTCCTCATCTGGTAAACCCTCTTCCTTGGCTGCTTTGGCTTCTTCCTACAGAGACAGAAAGGTGAGGCAGCTTAGTACAGCTGGGCTGCCAGCCAGTCTGATGCAGGGCTCCTCCAAGATCCAACTCTGACACACGGTTACAGCACCTAGTTCTGTACAAGATTTGAAGGAAGGTGTGGGACCAAGCACTCAAGTCACAACACTGCATGCCAGACAGGACCTGTTTTATTTGTGGGTGCCTACTGGGAGCCCTGGATGGATGGGCCAGCTGTAATGAACCAAACCAGCAATCCTGCCAGCCAGTGCTTCCCCTCTGCCATTTCCATTAGGACCTGGGGACTGAGAGATCCTCTCTGTCTGCCTTTCTCTCCACAAACAAACTGTTTAGCTGGGTTCCCTCCCCAGCCTGGCCTCACCTCTGCTATCTTTTTGTCATAGTCTTGCATGTAGGCATCCACCTCAGCCTTCAGTTCTTCTCGATCCACTACTGAGTCTGCATATCTGGCAATCCACTCTGAAACAGAGAGAGCAGAAGTCAATTGTAGCCTCTGCTAGAAGCAAATTTTGGTGTAATGTCTTTCAGCAGCTCCAGAGAGAACTGCTGTGGGAAAGAACACCCTTGGTTCCCATTTCCATTCAGCCTCCCCACTACCTTAGCTTATGCTCGATTTGACTTCCAGAAGAAAAGCATTAAGTAATGGGAAGAGCTTGCAACTTTTCAAGGAGAAGCAGACTATCCTGAAACCCAAGAAATGCAACATTCAATGTTGCATTTCCACCAGTGGTAACATGCAAACTATTGACATCTTGACAGCCATGTGGTGCTTGGCTTCAGTTTTCACAGCAAAACACAGCCAGTCTCTCTGAATCTACATGATATTGAAGAGATGTGAAGAAAAACTGCCTTTCCAATGTACTAAGAGCCCTTGTCTTCCTGCAGGGTCACTCAGCCAGGGCCTACAGCATCCAATAGCATAAGCTATCAACAAGATGATGTGTTTAGCATGTATAGTGGTCACGGGCTGATGGCTGGATGCAATGATATTAGTGATCTCTTCCAACTTTAACTATTCTATGATTCTAAGATACAATAAGAAAAACAGGACAATAAAATATTGGACATCTCCCCAGTTTAGGCTTAATACAAAATGGTGAACAACTTGGAATGTGGCAGGAAGGATTCAGTTAAGAAATGTTTCCCCTGCTCCGGTTAACACGAATGCAGCCGGTGCTTACTTACTGCTAATGCCAGTTTTCACAGGGTGACTCTCTGTTGATATCAACAAGGGACCTTCCTGTGATAGGGCCTTGGCTGCCTGGACACCGTCCGGTTTCTTGAACACCACATACGCAACTCGAAATCCCTAAAAGAAGACAACACCTCCAGGATGATCAGATATACTGTGGGAGTTGGAGACACATATAGAAGTCAAATCACAAGTTCCAGTAGGATGACAAAAAAAAAAATAACAAATTTAAATCCTACTACCATACTGATGAGACCCAATAGCAGCCTTTCAGTATCTAAAGGGGGGACAGAGGAAAGGGGACAGACTCCAGTCTCAGGGTCGGTTGGGATAAGACAAGGAGAAATGGTTTCAAACTAAAGAGAGGAGATTTAGATTGGGCATAAGAAGAAAGCATTTTACAGTCAGGGTGGTGAGGCAGTGGCACAGGCTGCCCAGAGAGATGGTGGTTCCTCATCCCAAGGTCAGGCTGGAGGAGCTCAGAGCACCCTGGTCTACCCGTAAGTGTCCCTGTTCACTGCAGGGGAGTTGGACTGGGTGCTTTTAAGGGTCTCTTCCAACTTATGATTCTACACCTTCCTCGAACAATTTTCCCATAACTCATGCTCCATCCACCACCACCACTCAATACTTGGGATTTCTTCCCACTCTGATCACTAAAGCACCACTATCCCCCCCAAGCTTTACCGTTGCCGTTCTGTTGGTGAAGAACTTGGACGTGCGTTTTTCTGCCTTCTCTCCCGGTCCCGGTTTGTCACGGAGGTCCACAGACTGCACGGCCCCACAGCGGGCGAAGAGCCGGGACAGCGCGTCCTTCACGCAGGGGGAAGACGACCGGCAGAGAACAACAGGAATTATTCCCCTCCGAGCCTTCCCAGCGCACCAATCCCCGCCCCGGGGGCTCCCAGTCGAGCTCCTCGCAGCCCCCCCACCCCGCTCACCCGGCTGCAGTACGGGGGCACGTTGATGACGAACAGGGTGCGCTGCGGCGGGTGCGTGTCTCCGGGCCCTTCCCGCACCCGGTGCTCCTTCACCAAGAGGCAGTGCGGCGAGCGCTGCCGCGCACCGAACTTCACCGCCAGCGCTGCGGGCGACAAGCTGGTTAAACACCCCGCCGCCGCGCCTTTTATCCCCTCCCTCCCCGCCGCTCCTCACCCGTGTATCCCGGCGGCGCGGCCGCCGCAACACGCTGCTCGGCGGCCGCCATCTTAGCGCGGGGGGAAGCGGCGGCCCAGGGTGCTGCCGGGAGCTGTAGTCTGCGGCGCTGCTAATGGCGGCGGCTGCGGCGGCCTGTCCGCTCGCTATAGCGCCCCCATCTCTCTTCAGGTGCAACCTGAAGCCTCAGCACGTACCGCTCGTCACCCAGAGCCACGGCTCGGTCACCTAATGCCGCCCGTGCAGATGGAGGGCGGCGTGGAATGCACTCCGCTGGCTGAATTGCCCTTTTTTTTTTTTTTGGCAAGCACAAGGGAGGGGGAACGGGGAAATAGCTCGGCGGTACCGAAGAAAATCCATCACTTGAGTGAGAGAGGTTGAACATCTTTCCACAGGGCACCCCACAGTCACTGCACAGCTCACTAGGAGGAGCTTTCCAAAGACTGGATCAAGGTAAAGCCAAGTTGATGCCTCCAAAGCTAATTGTTACACGTTTTTGTCTGGAGCAGCTATAAATCCAAGGTTGAAACTCCACTGTAAGTTCCATTAGTCCTGCCTGCCTAGGGAAAACAGCCTTCCTATGATGGAGTGTTTCTCCATCCAAGACTGCCATAAATCAGAAACAAGGACAGACACCGTGAAGGTCCATGAGATGAGGCACAAGTCCAAAACAGCGACAGAGAGAATGAGGTGTCCTTGTGACCAAACATGGCTAAGACAAGGAGGACACCTCCCCAAACAACCAGGGACCACTGAAGACCCCCACAAGTGCAGAAGATTAAAATATGTTATGCAACTTTCTACTTACACAATCCTGTGAATATATAATAGGTAGGTGTGACCTAGGTAGGAGCATAGTGAAACTTTTTGGACTATAAAAAGCCAGTGTATATGCTGTGTATGCTTGGTTTGTGGAGATTTCCCACGCTGCACAGAATAAATCAACATCTCCTTTCTAAACACTTGTCTTTTTGAATGTGTTTCAGATTTAAAATCAACAACAAACCCACTGGCTCAAGTTTTCTGATGGTAAGAAGTCAGATGTCACCGGGATCAGGGGGATGCATGTACTGGATGAAAACAAATGTATGAGGAAGGTAGCTACTAACCTAATCCAAATATAAGGGAGCATACAACCCAACTAAGAGAAGAGGTACCTTGTACCTGCAGACTATGCAGCCTTTTAATTAAAGTCAGACACCCACTCATCTCCAGAAGAAAGCTGTGACCCCTACCTGGGCTTGGAGGCATTGACTCCAACTTCAACTTGCTTCATAAGGTGGTGGACAATTGACAGGAACCTTGAACTGAGAACAATACTGTGTGCATGCTGGAAGAAGCACCTGCCAAGCATCACAGAAAGCCCACCAAAAGATGGTAATGGAAACAGCAACCAACAGTAGTGCATGAAAAGACTTGCAGAAGGAATGCAAGAATATTGTGCTAAGCAAACAACCAGTGATGCACCAGCAGATGAGAAAAAGTGAAGTTTCCCTTAGCACTGAACTAGAACTGTTTTCCACAATTGTAGACAGCTTTTTTTTTCCCTTTCTTTCCCCTTCTCCATGTGGTAATGGGGCACAGATATGGGAAATAACTGAGCCAGGCACAAAAGATTAAAAGGAGGCAGTAACCTGGGCAAAAGAAGTCTGGAGGGGTTATACTGCCCAACAGTTTGGTGATAGAGGTGTATTTCTATACTTGAGCTCCTCTAGAAATCCTTGTTGAAGGACAATGGAAATATAATATTATTTTATATAGAAGAATAACACTTAAGAGTCCCTGCATTATGATGCGCTCTGACAGGAAGCTTATTACACACAATCATTATTTTTAGCAGTTCTGAAATGAAGACCTCAAAAACAGCATAAAGCAGCAAATTTGCTTAATCCCAGCAAGGCAAATAAAAGAAGAAATATTAAAAAGACACATAAAAACACTAAAAGAGAACAGTAAGAACAACTATTCTTAAAGACTCTTGTCAATCAGGAAACATAAAAGACAACCTTTACAGAAGAAGATGTATTTATGATGCAAATGGAAGAGAGCACACTCCAAAAGATTTTGAATCAAGACATATGTATGAAGTGAAAGACTAATGAAAGTAAGAAATAATACAGACATCTGACTCAAACAGATATCCAAGTTAATGAATGTTACTGGAGGAAGAGGTAAATGCAAGAGCTATACCAGGCAAACTTGTAAGTCACTTTAGAAGACAGCATACTTGAAAAGCAAAGGAAAATGGAAAAACACTATTACAAATTACCTACCACCTACCTGTCCTGTTAGCATATTGTCTTACTACAAACAGTATTTCACACACAAGCTTACAATCTCTTAACAGTGTAGAAATAATAAATTAATATAAAATAAATATAAATAAATAAAATATAAAATAGATATAAATTATAATATATCTATAGAACCATGCTGCATCAGGGCAAATATGCGCAGATGTTAGGTCAGAAGGTGGCAGGTGAGCTCAGTAGAATGTGAACAAGAGTAGCATGATAATTCCAGGACAGCAAGAAGAAATTTGACAGCTGCAAGGCAAACTGTTTGAACAAGCCTAGAATTAACTGCAGGTTACTCTTTCAGTTCCTTCTGAATCAAGCCACTCTGTGAAGAGCTAGAAGGCTTGGGCAACTTTAGAGTTAACTGATTGTAGGAACAGGAGAGCAATGCACAACAGGACATTGCTGTAGGATAAAACATAGAGAGGTGTTTAGACAATCTTTGATTTGAAGAATTAAAAGAAAATATTTACTGCACAGATCAGAATACAAGTTCTTCCAAGGAAGTATGTTAATATCATAATTTATCACAGGTAACTCAAATAATGCATGATTAAACAGTGAGTTATGAAGTGCATTTGGCTTTTGTAATGGACATATGTCAATTAATGAAAAATATGCTTCAGTCTCCCCATTCTTTCAGATGAGACAAGATATGCAATTACAGTGGAAGTCTTCACATTTTCACAGCCTTAATTTTTTATTATCTGGCTGATAATGAAAGTACCCTACTTTACCTGGAATGGGTACTCTGACTTCAGAGCAGCAGTATTTTTTTAAATTACTTTTTAAAAATCACTAGACTGTCAATAACAAATTGACATTCCTTTCATGTGACAAAGAAATTAGAACCAAGTGAGGAGGGACAAATCACACCTATCAACAACAATCAGCTAAATCCAGACCACCAAAATTAGTAAAGCGTCAATTTTCTTATCCATATACTCTTGTTCTTCCTTCACACTACCAGCTACCTATGGAATTTATTACTGAACCAGGAGCAAGATCAGAGATTTGGAGTTTTTATATTTTTTTAAAAAAGCATGCTTGATTCAATATTGAACTCTTACTTACTGATTTTTCATTTGCTTCACATCATCTAAAAAGGCTTAGAATCCAATCTCTGTATAACAAATGTTTATTCAGAAACAGATAATACATAATCTTCTCCAGCCCTAACATTTCTCCCCCTCCCCCCAATTTTTATTAAAACACAATTGTTTGGTGGGTGATCTAAGAAAAGGGAACAACAGCTGTCTTAAGGCCCCTCCCTTACAAACATCTGCTGGTCACATGAAGCACCCCACCAATACTAGTGTTTTACTAGATCTCCAAACCAAAGAGAATAATCTGAAAAAACAAGTCCTGTCAAGTCCCCAGTTATTTTCATGGCTAAGAGGGACAGTGTGAGATAAGGAATGGTTTGCACCAGCTAGATAGAGCAAAGAGCTACTAGAGAATAAGAAAGCAAAAGAAACACAGAGTTGACCAAGAATTGGGATCTGGACCTACAATGATTACAGAAAGTTCACTGAAGTTCAGCAGACCTGAACAAGAATGGGTTAGGTCTGCCTTCTAGCTCGAAGGCTCAAATTCAAATCCCAACCAGATTGTGGCAGTGGCATCTTTTCCTCTCTTATAATATAATTTGAACTAATACAAATGGAGCTACTAGGGCTTCAAACATCCGTGACAAAAACGCTGTACTGACAAAGTACTGAAGTGCCACCTAGTGGCCTGGAGCGCATCATGGATGCTCATGGGCCAAAGTTGTGTCCTCGTTGCTCATTCGGAACACGCGTAACACTGCTCTCCAGTGTCTCCTCTTACAGAGCACTACCTGCTCTCCTCCAAAATCTCTCCTTGCAGCAAGGAAGCACAGCGATCATCCTCCAAACCCACCTATGTAAGCTGCAGGCCTGCACAGCAGCCAAACATTGCCCAAAATATATATGCCTCTCAAAAAAGTGATTTCTCTTAGGCAAGTGAAGACTGCTTAGTACTGGAAAAAGGCCCCAGCTCCCTCCTTTTCATAAAAGGAGACTGGTTAAGTCAGGAGGTAAGAAAAAAAACATCCCCGCATTAGCAGGAAGATGCAATACAGTATACTGGGAACAAAACACCAGGATGTCCTCTATTTCCAAGCAGAATCCTGGTTGTTTTTCAGACCACAACGGAGAGAGCAACTCCACTCACCCTAAAGGGCTAACAAATTCATTATACAAATGCCAGAGCCTTTTTTCCCCCCCACCTTCAGTATTACCACAGTTGAAGGATCCCTCCCATAGCACAACAGGTGCAAAATGGGTGCCGCACTTGTGCTTATGTCCATACTGCCCAATGCTTCCATGGGCTGGTATACATGGTGGGAAACTCAGTTTTTCATGTATTTTCTCAGTGTCACAGCTGCCGAGCAGAAAAATATTCAGCAGTCAGAATTAAACTGTACGCAATTAAATGCATTTAAGTCCAAGATGCAAGATGGCACAATTCCTATATGCAACCACACCTGATTTGGTATCTGGTGCAGAAATTTCAGAAACTGCGCTGTTCTTGCACGATGAAAATCACGAGAATGCATCTTTTAGTTAAAGGTAGGTCAGAAGAGAAGAGATTGCCAACCCTTCCTTCAAAGTCTATGTGCACTTTTAATGGCCACTAGGGGCTTTGGAGTAAAGGAGGGAGTTACATGGTATATGCTTAGTAATATTATTACTGGCAGAAGGGGGAAGATATTCTCTTGGAAAAAAAAATCGTGGAAGAAAACTCCAACTATGAAAACAGAAAGTACACACACAAA